GGTTGACCGAGCGCCGATGACACAGAGTTGTTAGACAGACCGAAGTACCAGGAATAGGAGCAGTAGCAATAGCAACTGCTATGACAGCAGTCAAAAACCAGTTGTCGGCACCTCGAGGAAAAGCTGCTACTGTACACAGGCCCCTTCTGAGTGACAAGCATGTAGCATCACAACAGTGCCCTGCGCACCCTTGGCTCTTGCAAGCATTGGCGCGCCGCACTGTAGCAGTGATAGCAATGAAACACCAGAACATCTATCAGCCGGATGACGGTCATCGTCATGTTGCCGAAGTTCATGCTTCGGGCTTGGTCCGGGTTTGAGGGCTCGCAGCCTGCAGTCGCATCCTTCTCCGGTTGAGGTTTAATTAAGTGGATTTATGCGTGCTCTGGCTGTTTAGCTTTTTTCCCTCCACATGGGGTCCGCTCACATGCTGGGACGCTGCGAGGCTCTATTGCGGACTCCGCTTCCACCTTGGTGCCTACCACGCAATCCGGCGACAGCCTCAGCGGGAATGATTGCAGTCTTTTGTCTCCGAGTCTTTTGAAGAGCTCGAGATTCAGGTCGAATCATTCGTTTTCGGTGGCTTGTTTAGTATACTATCAGTTTTCTGTCCTTCGTCAAGCTTCTGGTATCTGGAGCGGAGCTGAAGGGCAGGGTTGCAACCTGGGCTATGAGGGATCATCGTTCGTCTCGCGAGTGAAATCTTAGCACCAAGGTTGTAGGAGGCTTTTGAGCTCAAGGTTTGTAGGGGCCAGGGTAACAGCCCAACCCCGAACTTCAAGTCCAGGAGCGGCATGTGGGACATGAACGTGCTGATCTCGCTGGGGACTGTTCTTTGCTTTCTGTACTCTCTGATGGCAGCTGATCTGCAACTGGCAGCAATGAGTGCCTTTCCAGTCAGGCTGTATTTATAGATGTACTTAGAACTGCGCCAGCAATGTATTTAGAGCCATGCCGCCGTCCACAGTGCTTCTTTAGACGCATATCACCCATGTGGTAAGGCACATGCTAGGGGCAAAGTTTGTTGCAGCAAGAACCCGGAGGTTTGCGGCGCAGAGTTTCTCACACGATCCTTGTGTACATTATGTGTGTGTATATATATATACACATCTGTGTATAGACAGACAGACAGGCAGATAGAGAGAGGGAGAGAGATAGCTAGACAGATAACTAGGCAGGTAGATAGATTAGATTGGGTTTAGACTAGATAGAAAGCTAGCTAGCTAGATAGATAGATAGGTAGATAGATAGTGAGTGACTATAGTTACAGCGTAGCGCACCGAAGGCAACCTGGCACCACGTGCAATGCAAGGTTGTCATGCTGATGATTTCCACGACACTGCTTCCTGGAAAGAACATCGAATGCAAGGCGCCACCCCCTTCATATTTCGAGACGCCTTGCTTCGTGTGTCTCGGCAAAGGACTCAAACGGGGTTGCTTGTTTTGCCTAATTCAGATCAGAATTCGAGGCTGCAGCTCTATTGTGCGGAGGAATGCTGCTTCTAGATTGCTGTTGCTTGCGGTAGCCAGACAAGGAACTGAAAACAGCATCAACAACTAGGAGGTCAATCATGAAGACACGGCAAAACTACCAACAATGCGATAGCATCATCATCGTCATCACCGTCATCATCACCATCGTCACCATCACTGCACATTCGTCATCAGCAGCAGCAACAGCAGTACCAGCGCAGCGCCACCACCTCTCACAGCGGCGACAGCAGCAGCAGCAGCAGCAGCAGCAGCAGCAGCAGCAGCTGCAGCAGCCGCAGCACTGGGGAAAAAGCAACACAAACAACAACAGCAACAGCAACAACAGCAGCAGCAGCAGCAGCACCAGCGCCAGCGCCAGC